ATTGAGAGACTTTCCATCTTATTTAGTGATTTGAAACAAGATAACAGAACGTGGATTATGCATTTCCTTGGAAATATGAAAGAACTCAGCAGCTAAATAGACTGAAATAACTAAAGAAAAAAAAGTAAAAGATGATAAATTGCTGTATTTTGTTATCACTTTTGGCCTGTCCTATAAAATTAAGAGATATATGCTTGGATTTGTTTAGCTTCTTCAAGAATATAGTAGAAACTATATCATAATAAATTCTTTTGCACACAGCTGTCCTCATTTATTTCTTAAACATTACCTGGGCATCTGCTTATAGAAGCCTCTATGCTAATATTTGGAATATCAGGATAAACAAGATCCACCCTTGCCCACTAAATTTTAGAATCTAGGAACAGCTGTCATTTTAAGAAGATAGCAAGTTAAAAGAAGTCAGGAGAATCCAGATGAGAGTAGTCAGGTTCAAATGCCCTCAGACAAGTGGGTGGGGGGCTTTAAGAAACTGTCAGTCCTTCAGTATGAATCAAGTTGTAACTAGCTGGGGAGTGGATCAGATGAGGCTATGGGAGTGGTAAGCAGGGGCCTGATCCTCAAAATGAAGTGTCAATAGTTAAAAGACTAATGCCTGAAATAGAAACTGCTTTTAGCAATTACTTTGGAGTCACAGATAAAACAGATTTCTTCCTAATGAAAGGGGCTCTGCCTCCTGTCCCAGTGTCCTTTTTACATTATAGTAGAGCACATTGCACAAATTATGTGTTTTATGCAGATCAGGTCTAGGAAGTTTCTGAGAAATAAGGGTCACCTGATAGGAATGTCCTTGGAAGCCACCCTGCTGGAAATATTTGCTTTGGCCTGGAAAGGATACCAGTCAATTAAAAGCACATCTTTTTAGGTTGTCTTGAGTATAATTTGCAAACTCCTAAATGAGGGATAGATTTTGAATGGGTGTGAAATAAATGAAAAAAGTGTGGTTTGGATGAAAAGACAGTTGGAAGGGAAGGAAGGAGTAAGTCCTTGAAAGTAATCCTGAAATCATTAAGTTGCATCCAGCTGGAGAAGAATCTGTCACACCCACAATAAATAACATGTCCCTAAAAAGTTATATAATGCCAGGTGTGGCGGTGCACTCCTGTAATTTCAACAACTTTAGCAAGGCCCTACGCAACTTAGTGAGACCCTGTCCCAAGAAAAAGGGCTCAGAATGTAGCTCAGTGGTAAATTACCCCAGGTTTAATCCCCAGTACTCCTGCACCCCCCAAAAAAGTTGTATAGAAAATAACTCAGTTTTACTTGCTATACATTATTTTCGATTAGTTGTGTGCTGTTACCAGAGTGCTGCATATTCTCCGACATCTCTTGTTTTACAAAAATCACGGAGCAGATTTTGATAGGGTCTGTGTCAAATTAATCGTACTGGCTGTCAATAATTAAAGAGGCAATAAATTCCAGGCACTGTGCCAGAGACTTTCAGACATTACATATATCCCAAGAGTCCTAAAAGGCAGTGCTTATCAAGCTCACTTCACAAAAAGCTTGAGCCTTATAGAAATTTGCAGTGTACCTGACTTCATGGCTCCTATGTGTCAGAACCCTGGTCTCAATTTGTTTAAGCCACATAGTGAGCACTTTCCTACATGAGGCAAATGTTATGTCTTCATTAATTTCCCTTCTCACTACTACATAATGTTTCTGGACAGTGAAAAGAAGGAACCTAGGGTTGATATACCAATCCCAGTTGTAATAAATAAAGGAGAAAATGAGAATTACATATTATCTGGGGATTGCTTATGGGCCTCACTTGCCTGATAGCCACCTGTCCCTGACCCCAGCCTCTTGGAGTATTGACTTTGCCCAAGAGCTGTCACATGGGACCAGGCCCAGCATTCCAGATTTATAATGCTCTTCCCTTGAGTCAGCACCAGTGGGCCCTCAAGGCCAAATCTGCATCATGACCTGCTGTCCAGCTCTTCCCTGCTTCCTCCAATAGAGGTTGTATCTGAGATCACCATGTGGGAAAGAAAGCTCTGAATGTCCTTCCTTTACCCTGACTTAAAGAACCCTGACTCCCTACAAATGTGCCCTTGTCCTTCATTTCACTCACTGTAGAATACCCCTGATAAAATAGCCCCTTCCACATAATTCTTTACTTTGGCAGTGATGTATAGTTCTGCTTATATCTGTTTTGGGTATTTTCACCAATGGTTTCTCTTTTATTTCCTCCAATTGCCTTGTAAGTTGAGTCAAATTTGGCACAAAATCTACTGATTCTTGAAAGATAACTCAAGTTAGAAAGTTTTTAGGAAGCAGGTGAGATTAAAAAGAATGAAGAACATAATTTGATGATTTATTTGAGACTGGTACTGAATCAATACACTGATGAGTGAGCTTAACTAAATGGCAAAAAAAAAAATTGAAAACTCCCTCTTTAGTGGTGGCTTAATAAATAAAGACCCAAGAAATCACTGTATAACCACATGTCTAGAAGCTGGATTCGTTTGTTGTTGTTGTTGTTGAAGAATTTAATTTTATTTATTTTTATGTGGTGTTGAGGTTTGAACCCAGTGCCTCACACATGTTAGGCAAGCACTCTACCACTGAGCTACAACCCCAGCCCTAGGAGCTAGATTCTTTAAAATCCTAGGGTCCTTCCAAGAGAACATAATATTTTTTTAAATATTTAATTTTTAGTTGTAGTTGGACACAATGCCTTTATTTTATTTATTTTTATGTGGTGCTGAGGATCGAACCCAGGGCCTCACACATGCTAAGCAAGTGCTCAACCGCTGAGCCACAACCCCAGCCCTGGTTTTTTATGCTGATGTAACAAACTACCATACATTATGGGACTTAAGCAACACACATTTATTATCTCACACTTCTGTAGGTGAGAAGTGTGTGCTGCTGCTGCTTCTGGTTTATTTTCCCAGTTACCTAAGTCCAAATAGAAATTTCAAAGCTTGGCTTCTTATTTGGAAACACTGGGGAGAATCTTATTCCAGCTTTGTTCAGGTTGTTCTCAGAATCTGGTCCTATGAGGAATCTAGTTCTTGGTAGTTTTGAGTGAGGAATGAATTTCCTTGCTGACTATCAGCTGGAGCTGCCATAGTTCCTTGAGGCCTCTCTGAAGTCTTGAATGTGGCTTCCTACTTTTTGAATGAGAAATGGCACATTAAACCTATCTCATGCTTGGAATGTAACATTCCCCTCTGCTGCATCTCTCTTCTGCCTTAGTCAGAAATTTCTGTGCTTCTAAGGGCTTATGCAATTAGATTGGTCTGTGCAGACTATCCAGTATAACCTATTTTTAAGGTCCATCCCATAATTTTAATTATATTTGCAAAGTGCCTTTGGCCATGTAACATAACATGCCTTTCAGGGTTAAGAGTATGGAAATCTTTGTGGAATAATTATTCAGTCTACCACAGAGGTAGAAAATGTCTCCCTGGCAGAAATTCCAGCTTTGATAAGAAAATAAAAAATAATTCACCATCATTCTCCTGACTTTTGTCTATATCTACCCCAAGGGAAAATTCTGGCTTTTTCATTGTGCTTAAGGGCACCTGTACAAGTGTTTAGGTATGTTCATCAGGTGGGGGGTGGTGATAACAGAGACTCACAAGTTATGATTTTTGACCAGAGACCAAACAAAATAATAAATTTCTCAGTCTTTAGAGATTATAGAGGTTAGTGAAAAGGTTAGTATAGAAAGATGCTACTGAATAGAAAAGGGTGAACCCTTCTTGCGGAGATTTATTGAATCATTTTGAAAAATGGTGTGATCCTGGATTTGAAAACACTTGTCATAGATAGGCACAAGAAAGTGCTTCTGAATAGCAATGATATTTTATATTTTCAGAAAAACCTCCCAAGAACAAAGAAGGCTATCATCATAACAAATTATAATAGTAGCTTTTTATTGGGTGCCTACAAAGTAACAGTTAATTGAAGAGACTACAATTTCTCATGTACTTTGTATCTTGCTTTCTATTCTTGGTTTATATGGAGACTATATTGCCAGTTTATTTGTGGTTAGGAAAGGACATGTCACTAACCTTGAAAAAATGTGAGCAGAATTGTGATTTTTTACTTTAGATCAAGGCACTTGAGAGCCTGTCTGCCATCTTCATGCTTTCTATTCCATCCAGTAATGACCATGTAAAATCCATGTTTAGATGTGGAGCCATATGTTGGAAGTAGCCTAGATCCCTAGGTCATCTGACAGCAGAGAACACCTGCCAATTCACATCAAATTTTATTTGCATATGAAATAAACTTTTTAAATTAATTAATTTATTTTAATTAGGTATATATGACAGCAGAATGCATTTTTGTGCATTTCATTATGCACAATTGCAGCACAACTTTACATTTCTATGGTTGTACACAATATAGGGTCACACCATATGTGCAGTCATACATGTACCTAGGGTAATGATGTCCATCTCATTCCGCCACAAAATAAACTTTTGATATGTTAAGCTTGTTAGCTGCAGGATAACCCACGCACTCAAACCCCACTCTGTCTGGTGCTTTATCACCTGTTTGCGTCAAGTCTGAACACTCAACCCCACTCAAGGCTGAACACCGGTCTGGTAACAGAAACCCACATCTGACCCCTGCCCCATCTGCCTGAAGGCAGAAGATGACACCCTTAGCAACTACTGTGTGATCCAATCATTGTACACCAAGAAGGCAGCTTGCAGACCCAGAGACCCCATTAGATTTGGGCTATAAAAACTCCCTCCTGCAGGGCCTTTCTCTCTCTCTTGCTCTCTGTCTCTCTTGCTCTCTTGCTCTTGCTCTCTCTGTCTCCCTCTCTTGCTTTTGCTCTCT